TATGTTTGTAAATAATTTATTTTCAATTTGCATTCTATTAAAAATAAAAATAAACAGAAAAAAAAAAGATTTAGGCATGACAAATTGTGCTGCTATAAACATGGATTCACATCTATTGCACCATCAATCTTTTCAGTTCTTCTGGAAAAAATACCCAAAAGGGAAATAGCTGGGTTGAATAGAACCTCTAATCCTACTTTTTTTGAGGAATCTCCACACTGATTTCCATAGTGGTTGTACAAGTCTACAGTTCCACCAACAGTGGAGAAGAGTTCCTTTTCCTCACAGCCCCTCCAGCATTTGTTCCAACTGGGGTGAGTTGTAATCTCAGTGTTGCTTTAATTTGCATTTCTCAAATGACCAGTGCTGTTGAACATTTTTTCGTATATTTATTTGCCATTTGTATTTCTTCACCCGAGAGGTGTGTATTCACCTAAGATGCTCTTTTTTGGATTGGGTCTTTGAATTTTGGGGCTTGATATTTTTAATTCTTTATATGTTCTAGATAGAAGTCCTTTGTCTGAGGGACAGCTGGCTAAAATTTTTCCCAATTTATGGGTTTCCTTTTTCCTCTGTTGGTGATTTCTTTTGATGTGCATAAACTTTTCAATAAAATGAGATCCTAGTTATTGATTCTTTGAAGTATTTCCTATGCAATTTGGTTTTTGTTCGTGAACTCTCTGTCTACCTTTACATCTTCAGGATTGAAGAGGCCAGCCTGAGTTTCATGGTTAGACCCTTCTTTCTCTCTCTATATATATAGGACATGAACACAGGTATTCACTCCAGAAAGAGATCACCACCAGCATCAGGCTGGCTGGCTGAGCCCTTCTTCCATTCCTTCCCAAAATATCATAAATATCTGTTGAGTTTCTTCATCAACAGTTGTAGAAGCCAAGTATTCAGCCTATTCTCAGAAAGTCTAATCTTTCTGAATTCTTGTGAGCATGTTTATTAATTTCCCTTAGACTTTTTTTCAAAGTTTTATTGATAAACAGATAGCAATGAGACAGTTCCCTTAGACTTTTTAAGAAGCAATTAAAAGTTATCATCTTCTCCTGCTAGCATGCCTCTCTCCACATTTTTGGGGTCAAATATAGACAACACTGAACTCTGTCCCTTTTCTTTGTCTCACTACTGGATCTTACAAACCTCTTCATATTGCATTAACATTTGTAAGCTCTGTCTTCCCATCAGGATATAAGCTTATTGGGGCTGGGGAGATAGCTCAGCAGTCTAAGTGCCTACCTGGCAAGTGCAAGGACCTAGGTTTGATCCCCAGTACCACATGCCATACCAGCCCCGGAATCCCAGGTATGCCATGTCAGCCACCGAAACCAGGCATGGTGGTGCATGCATGTAATCGCAGCTCCAGGAAGGCTGAGACAGGAGGATTGCTACAAGTCCTAGCTATGTACAGTGAGACCCTGTACCAAGCAAATAAAAGGCAAAAAAAAAAAAAAAAAAAGGATATAAGCTCTTTGAAGCAGACATGTGTCTTATCCACTCTAGGCTCTCCAGAGAATGGTACAAGGTGATATTTCATAAATATTGGTGGAAGAACTCTGATGTCAAATCATCATAGTCCTACTATTTCTTATGAGTAAAACATGTTTCCTGTCTCCTCTTCCTCTTACTTCCTATGTATCTTGTCCTTCATGCTAAGCCACTGTGAATTTTTGTTGAAAAGAAAAATGAGCAATGAAGGCAACACATTTTAATGTAATTCTTTTTATTCCTCCCAGGTACTATCTTGGTCGTCGGATGTATATCGTTATTGCTGAGCCAAGCATGATCAAGCAGGTGTTAGTTGAGAACTTCAATAACTTTGCCAACAGAATGGTACGTAGTTTCCTTGGCTGGTACCTGTTTTCAGTAAATAGTGACTGCGTTCACTGTGGAGAGTTGGTACACGCACACAGCACACCTTCCTTTCCTTCCCTTCTCCCCTTGCCCTGCCTCCCTCTCCCTTCCCTCCACTTCTAGATCCCTTGTCCACTTGCAAAAATTCTATCTCTCTCCTTTCTGTTATCTAGCCTATATTTTGCTCTTTAAATTATTTATACTTTCAGTTTCCCATATAAAAGAAGCCAGGCAATAGATATTTAAGCTGTCTGACTTATTTTACTTAATATTATAGTTTCTAGGCAGATCCATTTTCCTACAAATGGCTCAGATTTAATCTTTAGCAGAATAGTACTCCATGGTGTATAAATGCCACATCTCTGCTTATGAAGGGCCTGGGGCCACCGTAGGATGAAAGGACCACATGACAGACCTTCTAGGGAGATGATGGCCTTAGTTTCACTGGGTCTAGGTCAGCACTATTCAGAACTAAGCTTCCCACTGAACTTGGATTTGAGAAGGAGAGAGAGCAGAGCTGCCACAGAGAGCTGATGTTTATATTTAAGAAATGCTTCAAGAAATTGAAACTCAACAGAAGTTGAGCTTAACAAAAATACTAAAACCATGGAAGTTTTCTCAAGCTGTGCTCAAAAACTAGAGGGCTCCAGGGGGGGCACAGACTAAGCGACAGAGCACACTGAGCTATTATAAGAAAATAAAGCAGAAAAAGCAAAATGTCAAGGGTCTTATGTCTAGAACTCTTGATAGAAGAGTATATGAAAGAGTACCAGAAAATGTAAAAGTATTAAGGTCAGAGAAGGAAAGATAAACTACATTAGTAAGGAAATTCGCCCAAGTAGCCCTTATTTATTCTGCTCTCCAACCTACATACCCCATCCTATTTGGAAAGCACAAAGTACTTCAAAAGTATCCTAAGGGACCAGGGATATAGCTCAGCAGCATTGAACCCACAAAATCTGGGTTCAATCCCCTGTGCCTTAAAAAGAAAAAGGTATCCTACTAATTTTGACAAAAAACCTCAAAAAATTAGAAAGATGATAGAAAATGGCAGAGATCAATGTTATCCATATTTTTTAAAAATGTGGAGATGGGAATGTTAACAGAGAAGACCAACAATTTTTATGTGGATTTCTGGAAAAAAAATCTAAAGTGAATTACATAAATAGATGCTTATAAGAATCCATACAATTCTATGCTAACCAGTTTTGGGGAGAGATGTCAAAACTTCATTTTCTATTCTTGTAGGAGTAGTGGGTAATGCATTCATTCTTCTGTTGATTACTTAGCAAACTTTTTGCACATTTGCCATTGGCCAGGCATTATCTTGGTGCTGCCTGTAAAGACAGAAAAAAATGGCATCGTGCCTGCAAGGTGCCATGGGGAAGGGGTGGGCAGGCTGGTAATGCGTTCACAGTGCGGTGGGCTTCCTACAGTGGGGTGCTTGGGCCATCCGGGGCACCCATGGGAAAGCTCACTGGATGTGAGCTCTCGGAGGGACCCCTGCACTCTACCATTTGAGCCATCCAGAGGGTTTTGCTGGCTTGGCTGTTGGCTTTTGTTCTTGTTTTCACCATCACATCTTATGAGACTGGTACCTTAAGTGCTTCCATTTCATGGACAAGGAAACTAAGGCTCAGAGAGGTTCTGTGACCAACCTTGGCCCATGCCTAGCTGGAGTAGTGGCAGATGTTAGTGGGCTACTACCTCGAGAGGCGGTCCAGCGCTCTTTGTATTGCACTGCTACAAATGGCTGCTTCTGCTGACATTTCTAGGGATCACAGTTTAATCAGATAATTGACTAGTCATCCAAAATGCACTCATCTTCAGACACAGAGCGTTATGCCCCTCTCCAGACACCATGTGGCCCCAGAAGGGAGTGACCGCGACAGCCTGTCCTGCTGCCTCCATCCCCTCAGAATGGCCAAAGGAAATGCAGATGTTTAATTCCTTTGGTGTGGACTTTAGATTCTCTTCCCAAACACTGTGACATTGTCCCCTGTTCAAAGACCCCCCAAAGGCCTTCTGTCCTGCTGGGATCTCAGAGACTGAGTCTCCCCATTCAGTGGATGTCATGCATACCGTCAGCAAGGGGTGTTGACTAAAGAAGTCAAGGAAGTGGTGAGTCATAGGGCTGGGTGCTGCGTCCCGCCTGCGTGCCACCCATGACCCAAACACATGACTACTCACTTTGCCCGGCAGTGAGTCCCTGAGCGGCAAGATGGGACCCAACAACTGTGTGTCTCTATATGGCTCAGATGACCTCTAGGACGTCACTGAAAGTGGGCTGTACAGCTCAGATGACCTCCACGACGTCACTGGAAGTGGGCTGTACTCCAATGTTTTTGCTAGATGTGGACAAGGCTAATCCATGAGTTCTGCCAGAGGGCACCAAATAAAGTTGCCTTCAGCCTCGGCCTATTTCTCCCCTGAACAAATTGATTGATTTCTTCTGTTTCTTCCAAAATGCTCAGCTAGCCCTCTAGGTTCAGGGCCCCACATTCCAGAGCATGGTTCCAATTTCCTTCCTTTTCCACTCAACACAGGATTAAGCCTTTAGCATTAAATTCAAGTCTCCCAGAGATGATTTAAGGACCACTGTAATTTAGATCCATCCCATATGCTCCATCCTCCTCTCACTGCCCTCCAATCCCAGGTGCCATCTCTGTTGGTCTCCAGACAGCCCTGCCCCTGGATAATCCTGTCCCTAGACCTTTGCTAGTAACTGACAGAACCCTGGAATGGTAGGCTGCCAAACAGTGGGTTTCACTTTTATTAGCAATGTCATTTTGAGCCAATTTCTTTTTAAGCCTCTTGTTCTTCCTCTGGAAAATGGGAATACCACCTACATTTTTGAACCATTGGAAAGCTAGCATGCATTTAAGCCCTGCACCTATGCAGTGCTTGGCAGGGGGGACAAGGACAATATCCGGTAGTGGCTGTTAGCAAGAAAGCGCTCCACCTCTTCTGCACCCATCCAAACGCTAGCTGTTCTTCTAAATCTCTGTAGACTCTGCCTCCTCCAGGAAGTACTCCCTCCCTGCCTCTGTTGATGTCTACTGTCCCCCATCTCTGAACTCTTATGTCTCACTCACTTTTGCAATTGGTCCCACTGTGCCTTACTGTTAAGGAAGATGTGGCTTCTATTCTCCCTTGATTATTAATTCTTTGAGGCCAAGAACTATGTCTCCTACTTCCTTTTCATACCTATGGCCCAAACACATGAC